AGGATACTACCACTGGGGTGTGATTCTGTTTTCTCTGTGGGCTGAGGGATTATCTGGGGTCTGTTAACTGTCCTGTGTGTCCCAGTGCCTGTGCTGAACACACACTTTGTTCTGATCTGGGTCCCAAGTGAATGACATTGGATGGCACAAGGACCAAAGCTGTCCATGGGGGGGAAACAGGCTTCAAACACGAGGCTGAAGTGGTGTTTTGTGCTCATCATGAGATCTTTATTTTCCTTGTCTTGCTAATACATTTATAGTTAAGGTAACTACAATTGTTGAATATGAAGATACCAAGAACAGTTCTGCAAAGAAAATAACTAAAAAAGTAAGTTTATTCTGTTTTTATCCAAAACACATAAGGACTTCATCAGTTTTGACCTGCCACAAGCCCTGCTAGATCCATGAGAAGGCAGACCAGTGCTCTGCTGTCCGTTGGAAAAGTCAGTTATTTTAAATGTAATGCATTTGAAGTTAAGCAAGGCTAACTGTAAATTATTTTCATAATGAAATATGGTATCTGCACTTCTAGTGACTAATTCACACAGGCTGGCAAGTACTGGCATGGCCATTCTCTCTTGACTTGCCAGTAAGTCTTGATGGTTTGAAGAACCATATTTTGTTGAAACTTTATTTTTTAAATCAACCTCGTGTTTAATCCATGTTTTTCTATAACTGAGTAGTTTATTCTTGTCTCTAAACCAAATCAAGTGTTTTAGTTTTGCCATCTCAGTCTGTCTGGGGAGTGTAGCTCCTCAGCCAGACACTGATGTAGCAAGCTGACAACAAATACAAAAAAGATTCTGTGCAATTACAGACTTCTACTGTAAAAAGGCTTAAAAGTTGAAAGGGTGTATATTAGGTGGTTGGTTGTACAGAACTTCAGTAGGAATAACTATGATTTGGCATTATGAAACTTCTTTTAGAATGTATATTTGTGTATATATATATATATCTCAAAGGCAACACTATGGGGCTTAACTACCCTTTTTCAACAGGGAATCTTTACAGTATTGTTTCCTGCAAATACCTATCATTTTGCTTTCAAAAGCTACTTTTTTAACTGCAGTCTTATATATACATTTTTAGATTTCCAAAACCAGGTCGCTGGTTTCACTGGCCTCTGGTTTAAGTGGCAAACTGAACTCTCTTTCTAGGTAAGACTGATCTTTGATAGCTTATTTAACTCACCTGAATTTTTGAGTGCTGAACACAATTATTTTCAAATATAGTAGCTGAGATTTGAGCCCAAAGGGAATACATCTGATAAGGATTCTTCCATAACCTGAGATGCACTGTGGTGATGTGAAGCTGAGCAAAAAAGCACCTGTAGCTGATGAAGGGATAATGGGCACAGTTCTGAACTGAGGGGAGCAGTACAGATTCCCAAAGAATACTAATGGAAGAGAGCATGTAAGGAAAGCATCATTGCTCTGCTAGTACTGCTGAATTGTTCTGTAATAAACACCTAACTTGGGTATTGCAGCCCTCCCTTGCCCACTAACATAAATTATTATTGTGTTCTTGTATGGTTTTAATCCCATATGTCATGTTTATCTCAGGAGGGCTTTTTCACATGTGTTTTTCACACTAGTGCCCCCTGTCATGAGGCACTTCAGCATTCTCTAATCCCTTGTGTGCCTACCTTCCTCTTAGCTAAAACTTTACAGTAGAAGTAGATGAGGAGGAAATAAAAATAGTAAACCAACAAAATAAAACCCCCAGCAAAACACAAAGCCAATAACTACGTTTTTTTAGTGTCTGTTTACTCTCCTGCTAGTGAAGCTTGCAGAAGGTTGCTAAGTCTCTTTGTTTTCACTGCAGTACCACAAATCTCAAAGCCACTCCAAAGGGAGCTAAAAGGTAAGGAGTTTTCAGTTTGCTCTTAATCAACAATTTTGTTCAATACCAAGACACTATACATTATTATCAATCTAGATGTAACAGATCTTTGTGGTCTGCCACTAAATGTGCCAGTAGGGGTGTCAAACCAGTTCCACCTCCTGCTTTGGGTGTGGGTGTTAGCTTACATTACATTATTCTGGAGGCACAGGATTTGATGTCCTAACTAAGTCAGTTAAAAAAAAAAAGTAATTAGAGTATAAATGCTATTCTCACTATTTACAGACTTGCATCTCAAACTGGTTCTCAGAGCCCAACCTTGATTAAAATGTCACCAATACTGCTTTATTAAAAGAAAAATAAACCAATCCCCACAAACCCTTCAACCAAATACACTGATAATCAGTTCTTGGCATCTTGAATAGTCAAGATTTTTAGTTAGTATCATTCTGCATACACTACAGAGTTTGCTTTTGGCACAAGCTGAAGTGAGGGGGTGAACAACTTAAATGGGTCCTGAAACCAGAAAGTGGTTCAGTTTCACCTTGGCCTGCTATAAATGTCAGAGGCTTGTTTCCATGCAGAACACACCCAAATCTTACATTTTTAAAGTAAAACAATAACTGTTGTATAATAGAAACTTAGGAATTCTGCATGGCATAAGGCACACCCTGTGCATCTGAGAGGTAGCAGCTTTGGTATTTATTGATATCACCCTCTGTAGTAGACAGATACAGCACATGTCTTATCTTAAGCCCTGAGGCACGAAGTTTCCTCTTTCCAAAACTGTAAACATTCACTGCTGATATTGGAGAGTGGATATTCTTGTTACTGAGTGGCCAAAATGTCATCTTGTGTCACAGGCTTACAAGGTTACTGCAGTGGCAGGCTCATAAAACCTTACCCAGCAGTGCTCATAAGTGCTGCTCATGGTTGGATTTCTGTAGTCTCCTGGCAGAACTGGAAAAATTTAAACATGACTGCCTCTCTCCTAGGTGTATTTCCTACCACTGGCATTTGCTTCATGCTTGAAAATTTCCAGCAGAGCATAGAAAGTTAACCTCAAAGTAACATTTTCATTGTATTCTAGTGCTGGATTACAACAGACTGTCTCAAGAACTTTACCTGCCAGTGGAAGAGCTCAAGGCATGTTAAAAAGAAGTAAATCAGTACCCCAACATAAAAGTGTTCCATTTGTCAACATTCCCCTGGCTGATGGACAGGTATCTTTTTTTTTTAAAAAAAACATTTTCAATTTACAGTAGTTGCTCAGTACAAATAGTCTGATAGTGATAGCTCTTGCTGTTCCTAAGTGAGATGCTGCTAAACAAAAGGAAAATGGTTGCCAAAGTTCTGCAATGTACAGGGGAGCACATGAGTTTCAGAGAGGTTGGCATGCAGGAAAAATCTTTTAATCTTAGGATTGTTTCTCTTCACAGACACTGTGTACAGCTGGTGGAGACCTCCGTAATATTGATGTGCAGCTCCTGAATCAGGACACAGTACAGCACATCCATAACCTGGTGGTAAGCTTGAACTAGGAGACTTACAGATCTGTGTGTTCACACACCTGGTCCCAGGCTTTCATGTCACATCCTGTCATGAATCCAAATTTCAACTCTTTGGAGTTTAAGCCTCAACTGGTTGGCATCAGTTGGAGGGAGGAGGAGGGAGAGAAGAACTGCTGCACATGGATCATGTGTAAAAGGAACTGCACTTACATAAGCATGTGCAGTTTGGTGACAGTGGAGGGGCCACAGGAGCATCAACTCTTGCTTCTGCAGTGCTCTGGTGGCTGTCCTGCCATGTGAGCAAACTGCCATTCTCTTATCTCTCATTCACAAAGGCTGACAAAGCTACAGCTCAGTTTTGAGTCTTCTCACATTCCATAATTCTGTGGCCCTTGCTGAGTAAGAACTACACACCTGTTAAGTCCCTGCTGCAGTTGAACAGGAACAGCCTTAATGGTTGTGAAGCAAAATAAAGTGGACCAGAGCTTTGTAGCACCTACTGCCCAACCCTCCTGAAGATGAGGGTACCTGGGCTATTGTTTGAAGTCCTGGCAATTATCCAGACATGAGAGATGTTAACTAGTTTACAGTTGTGCAGGTACAGAGACCAGTGCAGCTGAGTCAAGCTAAAGCTCTGGGAGCTGTTCTTGGTTTTTGTTCTGGCCCTGCCTCTGTAGGCACAGTGGGGAGTGAGTGAGTGCTCACTGCTTGCTTTAACAGTAGGGACCTTTCTTCAAAGTTCTTTTGGGCAGCTTGAGCTAAAATGAGTTTTCCTCCCTCAGAGTGAGCTGACTGTCCTATGTGGAAAGGTAACACCTAAACCAAGTTAATGGAACTGTCTAGTGACTACAGAACATTGGTGACTGCTCTTGCCTGCTGCCTCCCTAGTGTTGAAATCATGTCTATTATGTCTTAATAAAGCTGTATACTGCCCAGTAAATGTTTATATATAAGCTTTTATATCATGTGATGCGTCTTATTAAGTTCCTGTTATGAAGGATAGCAAAGCAGAAGAAAATTATACTTTTTCTTTATAAAAGGCTTAGGTTAGGTTTTAACTAAATTGACTGCAAAATGAACAGTAGGCTTTATATAGGAAATAAGTTTCTCTAATATCAACTCACAAATAAACTGAAATACAAGGTACTAAATTTTTGAACAGCCTTAAGACACTTCAATAACTTTAGGTATGTGGTAGCATGTATGAATCTAACACAGGAATAAAATTTATTTCCAGTCTTGTGTGTGACATGACAGTAATGTGCAAGATGACAGGTAAAATTAGAATTTATCAGGTGCTGCTGGCAGGAGCCCAAATTAATGCCAAACTGCCCTACAGTGATCAGCTCTTCCTCCACCCCTTCACTTCAGCTACCATGAATCCCTTCCTCTCTTCCCCTTCAAAAAACCAAACAATCTGAATGGAGATTAAAGGTTTAGAGTGCTACTCTATTTTGCAAGGACTTACAAGCAGAAGACAGGTGGTGTAGTTGTTTAAGCATTGTAGGTTACAAGGACTGACTCCTTGCTGAGAGCAGTCAGGAGAAAGGATCAGCATGTAACCCATGGCTTCACCAAAAGCAACCCCAAGTTTGAATAAATGAAAATAAAAGACCCACTAGAGAATGCCACATCATAAGTCAGTACTGAAATACAGATCAAACAGTATTTATTTTTGCTTCATTTTTAGAGTCTATAACAAGGATGTTCAGCAACACTCAAATGCCAATGCCTACCCAAGCACATTGAAACCCTTGGAGTTTGTCCCTCCAACCTCATCAATAAAGTGTCAACAACTATCAGAAAAATAACTAAACAAGTCACACTTCAGATTTGTAAAGAAAAGTAGAGCTTCAACTTTCTCACTTAAACAGGAGAGAAACCTTGCTATAGAGGCAGCTTACCAACCCAACACTGTTCATGCACAAGAGTTCCTTAGTTAAGGTCACATTTCTGCTTTGTTCCGGCATTTTTGCCAATTAATAGTAATAGAACTGCAGCTGGAGATTTTAATATCTTCATACTTAAACCAAAGTGCAAACTACTAGAAAAGTAACAAAACCATCTACATTTATTATGTTTCCAGGTTAAACAATTCTTTTTTTAACCTGGAAACATTTCTCTAGGAAGTGAGGCTGAATCAGACTTCGAATAGGATTCAAAGGCTAAGAGAAAGACACCATTATTTCAAAATTTAATCATTCCCCATTTAAGGGGTTTGTTATCTTTAGACTGAATTCGGATATCCTTGTGTTTTCTTCACACAAAGGGGACATGGCTGCAGCCTTCCCTGTGCCCATTTAGTCATCTCTCATTTCAGGAAGAGACTTGAATGTGGCACACAATTGTTATCCAACCTTCACCTAGTCTTAAGGCAGCTTCAGCCTCCCTGTGTTTATAAAATATCTATCATCTACATAGTCTCTTCATACACAGACTAGTTAAAGCCACTGGAAAAGTAAGAGTTACAAGGCAAAAGAAATATATTATACACCAACTGCTTTTATTTAATTTCAGAAACCGTTCACAAGATGGTAGAAAAAAACTTACAACCACTTCTAATTTAGTCTTTCATTGTTCCCAGTCAGCTCTAAACCCATTATGTGCAAAGCCCATTTACCATGCATCTAGATGATAGATACAGGCTATGAAATTCTTGATTCTACTTGTAGCAGCTTATGCAGGTGCAGCCAAATACCAAGCCTCAGGACAAATTGTACACAAACTTTACAATGTAGAATTTGAATTTAAAATATGAAACTTAAAATCTACACAAAACTGGTAAAAATCAAGCACAGATACGAGGACAAACTTAAAACCCATGTGAAAAGGAGTCTCGTCTTCCTTTCAAGTGCTTTATTCTGCTACACAGTCAAAATGAAGATGTAAGCTTGTGGTTAGTTTAAATTACACTCTGTAGATACTATAGACCAATTTAAAAGTTACACATACAGCAATAGATGTCCATTGGTTCATCTGGATTACTTATACAATCCAGCTGGATTGTTGAAAACAAGTCAGGCAAAATTTGAAAGAAAATCCTTGTGCAACTTTTTAGACAAATGTTTACTGGTGGGCACACTGTACCCCAGGTCCATGATGGCTGCTTTCTTCATCAGAACTATCATTATAAGCTTCACGTCTCTGGCCACCACCTGAACCACGAGTGGTATCAAATTCTTGAAGATCTACCTCTTCTGCATCACCAATTACATTGGGAAATTCTGGTCTAGCTGGCAGAAGATCTTCAAGTTCCTGCCCCAGAGAAAGAAATGCATTCAGTATTGCATCTAGAAGACCTAAATAAAGTGACTGGTTTCCCCTAACTTTGAGCAGGTTTGGCTTACAAGTCTATGCTGATGAAAGCCCTGAACTGCAGAGTCATTTAAAAGCATTTGTATCAACTGGAAGACACCACTTCAAGAAAACCAACAGCTCCACATATCATCAACTACAAGTGCAATCAGTAAATACAGTTGCACTCCATGAACTTATCACACAGCAACAGAAAGATTCTCCTCCTGCCCTCATCTGTGCACCATCTGCACAGCTCTTAAATACAGCTTCCACAAATTCATATTTCAAGGGCTATTCCCAAGTAACACATGGCCCATAAAAAAGGTTAAAAGAACTTGCATCTGAATTTAAGCACAGAGAGCAAGCCCATGAGGTACAATACAGGCTCTTTGCACACTAGCAAGCAAGACACCACATTTATGCTTGAACAGCTACTTACTGAAAGCTTTTCTGGGCTAATCCAGTTATTTTCAGGAAACTGAACATCAAATTTAATGTAGAGATCCCCTTTCTCAAAAGGATTGCGATACTGTGGCATTCCTTCCCCTCTGACTACACGAACACAACCTGCAATTCAAAGAGAAGGAAAGTAATCAACAAAGTGCTGCTGCAGAGCCATTGTCTCTCCATACAGTTCTGTCTCCCCAGCCTGGGCTCAGTTAACAGGACAACAAGGGTGGGATTAAGTGCTGAAGAGTCACAAAAGCATAATCAAAGAAATCCTTATCAGGTCAAGCCTACCTGGTTCAATTACTTTTCCAGGAGGATATTTAACCACAATCTGACGTCCATCAAGGTGCTTAAATGTGAACTGAAATCCACACAGTGCTTCAACAAGTCCAATCTTGTGTGTCATATGCAAATCATTCACATCCCGCTGGAACACCTGGGAAACAAAGGAGATCTCCTTTCTACTACTGGAATCACAACTCCACCAGACTCATTATTGAGAGTTCATTATTATTTATCCTTTGAATTCAATGTCAGAGCAACAGCCTTTGTATGAAGTGAACCTGATTCTATTAATTCAGATGGCTTAACATGCTTGGAAACTTTGTGCCTGACCAAGTGTCATCTAAAATAAGCCAAACCACACCACACACCAAGGTAAGATTCAAATTAAACCAAATTAAAGGCCTGTACAGCAGCCCCAACTTTCACCCCCAACATCTTTCATACAAGCAATCTATAAACAAAACTGACATCAGTTTGACAGTATTTCACCTGCACTGGAGTATATAAACAACATCTTTGTTTTTCAGCTCTTGTCCTCAAGCATTTCTGCTTTAGCTCCCTTGACCTACAGCAGGACTTTGATCACTTAGTCCACAGCTGTCAGAAGAGATCTTTAGGCCACATAACTCAGGATTCTTAATCAGAGTAAATCTTAAAATTTGTCCACTGGCAGACAAATGGACAGTGGACATTTGTCCATTGAGTCCCATCTCAGGAGAAATTTTAAGAACAAAGTCTATCCAGTTTTACTCACTAGGACAAAGTACAGACTGGCAGATTAGCAGTCTTTGGCACACCTTTGAAAAGCTTACAAAGTACCTAATGAGCAGATAACCAATATTACATCCTTAATATATGACTGTAGTTTAAATTTGTACCCCATGCTACTCTGTCACAACAGAAGACTCCTCGAGTGTAACACACAAACTGTTTCTTATTTCACATAGCTATTAGAATTAAAAAAGGAGCAGTCATCTCAACTCTGCCCCACATGAGTTTTAACAGAAGATAAATTGCAGTATTTAATTCCAAAGTGCATACTTTGATTCCAGCATACAGTGAGCATAAGTCTTACCAAACCAGTATAAAATAATAATGTTTGTTTTGTTAAGTTAATCAGCAAAATCACCATTTTGTGTTACTTCCAGAACCAGAGTAGCAGACATAGAAAACACATTTGGGGGTTTTATCAGGAGTTCCCTGCCACGTCACAAGACATGGAAAAAAGCCACACTTAGAATTTTGTTAGTGTCACAAGCAAAGCAGACTAAAGTGAACATCCTGAATGGCTCTTCATTGCATCTACTGTATCAAAGTCAGTCAGAGCTTATCTGAGAAGCTACCTCTTGCTAGCATTGGGAGGCACCAGAAGCTGCCAGTCCTCTGGCTAAGGACTTGCCCAGTTTTTTCTGGCTCACCATGAAAGCTGTGTTACACACTAGAAATCTATTAAAAGCTATTCCCCGTCTCTCCCAGAGCTGCAACTGTATCAATTACTTTAAATGAATGGCCATCTATAGAACTTAAATATTAACAACTGGAATAAAAAGCATTTAAAAGATCAACTCAAAAGCATTACCTCATTCTCCTTCTCTTGGAGTAAAAGGACAATATCGCCTGGTTCCACACCGGGAGCCTGATCTGCTTCTCCACTGAATGTAATTCTCTGTCCATGTTTCATGCCTTTATCTACATGGACTTCAAGTATTTTTACCTCTTTGATCACCTTCTTCCCTTCACATTTTTTACAGCGGTCTTTTTCATTAATTACTTCACCTAAATAAAGACAAATTTTGAGTTCAGAGATTTTGACACAGTCGCATCCAATTCCTAGGAAAAACTATTTGAAAGCAAGCTGAAGAATTTCCTCAACACAAGTAGTGATTTTGATGTTGCTTTATGAATTCCTCACAAGAGGAAATCCAGGCTTCATTTACTCTAGCTGAGAAAGGGGGAAGGAAGAAAAAAACAAAAGTTCCCTGATTGCCTCATCTTGCAGAATATCCCCACAAGATAGACCTGAGCAAATGCAGCCAGCAGAACTAGTCTTGCATACAAAAACAGGGAAAGAGAGCTGGTCACATCAGATTCACCCCTACAAAGGTAATTACTGTTTCTAGCAAACTGAAGGGTGACAATCCAAAATGGCTTCAATGCTCTGTTCTACCTCACCTTTATTTTTCCACTGAGCTCTTGTCTCTATACACAGTAGCCAAAGTATTAGGGCACATGGACGGTAAGATTTCGGTACTAAGTGCCACAAGCAGATGCCTTTGGCTTAAAACATTAAGCTTCTCACCTTAAACCACCTTTCTGTGAAACAAAGCATAACATTATGATGAAGTTGAAACTACAAAATATGTAGGTTAGGCATATGAAATGTTAAAGACAACATCATTTATGAAATGTTTTGACAAGTCACAAAATACAACTCTTTGTTGTGACAAGTAAAATGATCTACAAGGTGATGTTACTCCTCTGCCAACTGCAGAATACATAGAAAGAAATCATATGAAGTGCTGAACTTGCTAGCCCTAATCAGAACCAATTCAGGCAAAGATATCATCTTAATTTGAAGAAGTTAAAAATTCAAAATTAACCTACGATTGTCCTTGGATATCAGGAAATGCAAAAAGACAAATAGCTCCTAAAACAGCAACATCTTGGTTTTTACTTTAACAAAAGAGTAAGAGCAGTAAGTAATATTCACATCTAAGTGTTTTCAAAGATGATCAATCCCTACTGCTTGAGCTTCTAGGGTGTTTTTCAGCACATTACACACTGTAAATCTTGCTGCTGTTCTGAGTGAAATGATTTCTCCATGCTGCCACCAGAGTGAGACGCAGCTGACTGGGAAAGGGCAGAAGTGTCCTGGATAAGTTCCTCCTGAGATTTGAGCAGGAGGCTGGATCCAAGCAAGCACAGTGAGGAGCAGAGCAGAGCCTGGCCTACCTTCTCCATTGCAGTCGGAGCACACGGACTGCATCTGCTGCACCATGCCCGGGGCCAGCTGCCGGATCATGATGCGCACGCCCCGGCCCCGGCAGGCGTTGCACTTCTGAACGGAGCCGGCCTTCCCTCCCTGCCTGCAGCACACAGCACCGGTTGCATCAAAAGGAAGTTCTCCAGAAAGAACCCAGAAATCCCCTGCAGCAGTGGGTTAGCATGCCTGCATGCCCAGCTGCACTGCCCATTACAGTTAGGTCCTCTGCTCTCCCACCCTTCCCCCACACAAAGCCCCTGAATAGCTCCAGTTCCATCAACAGCATCATTCAAGTTCAACAATTTGCTGGTTAGAAAACAGGCTCCAGTAAGTCAAATACTGATAAAGATCTGACACAGGAGAGCCTTCATTACACTATCTGCCAACAAAGCAACCAGAGAACTCAAAAATACAAACAAACTTACCCATTACATGCACTACAAAGGACATTCTTGCTAAGTTGTAGTTTAGTTGTCTTTCCATTATACAGATCTTCTAAAGAGACTCTACAAAATAAAGTATTTCTCCTGGGTTATCATTTACAACTTATTTTTCCCATGTAATTAAAACACTTGCCTAGGACAAATAAACAAACAACCTATTTTCCTAGTTGATATTCTCAACAAGACTAAATCTGCTATCAAAATAAGATTTTAAGCACCATTTTGGCTTCCCCAAAGTTACTGAAAAAAAAAAAAATCCATACATATCAATCTACACTTGTAAATCTGAACATAGTTTTAGAGAAAAGCTGTAATTTAATCAGAATAAACCAGGTAGGATGGGTTCCTGTGTTTCTCAAGAGGAAACAAGCTTATCTAGAATTTTAGGTGCTATTATACAGTCATAATTAATTAATCGTTCTACCAGGCAGGTGAGAAACAAGTCTCTGTAAATACTTCAGACAATAATATTGTCTATTGCATAAATAATAAGAACACATATAGAGTACTTACTGCTGTACTGGGTTTTCCACACAAAAGAGTTTAGTGGGGAGGGGTTAGCATGTCCCCAAGGCCACTTAACTTTTTAGTGTTTCTCCTAAAAGGGTTTGTTAGTGGACAGAAATTTTAACTCAATGTATTGAGTTGTATTAAGAACAGGTTACCTGGCATCAGTATTTACAAATAACAACAAAATCAAAGCTCATTAATAATACACCATGGAGTACCAGCTACTAAACAAGCAAGCATGTGAAGCTAAACAGACTTCACCAAGCACAGTCCGCCAACCACAGGAAAGATGTTGCTTAACTGAAGTTGTTAAAAGGGACCTGCTCAGCAGGCAAAAACCTAGCCATGACTGCAAGAAGAGATCTCCAAAACACTGATGTGATATTCAAGAATGGCTTTGAATAAATAAACAAAACCAAAGCCACCACACACAATTTTCCATTAATTATGAGGTTCAACCATAGTTCCAGCTGGCATCGCCCTATGAATTCAAGTCTTTCCAGAGCACCTCCACAGACCAGAATCTGCCTGGTGAGTAATATTTGGCTGTTGAAGGCTTTTCCAGATTAGAACTACCAAACATAATTAAGGAGCAAAACAAAAAAAAAATAAAGCTAACAAAGTGCATAATTCAAATAACCTGGCAAAGCATTTGGTAGTTTCTAGATTAACCAACCAAGGAAAGTAACTCCAGATGACTGGCCCTTGCTCTACACACAACATGCAGCTCTGAAGAGCAGTGCAGACTGCAGAGGATCTCAACTGAGAAGTGTATGAAGAACAGAAACCAGCAGAGTTTCTACGGTCAGGAAAGCTTCAAGGCACAAGTTGCAGCATCAAGGTACTCACTTGAGTGGATGCACCATATCCTCTCCTCTTCTTCTGCCATTGCGACTTCTGCTCTGGCCACCCATGAAATTGAACAATCCCCCACCAAAGATATGGGAGAAAATATCGTCCATGCCACTGCTGCCACTCCCTTCTCGCAGCCCCTGCTCTCCATATCGATCATACAGCTCACGTTTCTCAGGGTTTGACAATACTTCATAGGCAAAGCTTATTTCTTTGAACTAGAAGAGGAAACAGAGTCAAAACAGTGCATAATAATTTAGAACTTCAAGGCAGCATTCTGTGAGTTTCTCCCCCTGCATGAACACCTATCAATTAAGAAGGTACACAATGAAACACTTTTCCCTCATTTTAACATAACTTATTCTTAGCAAGACTTTAAAGTCAGACTTGGGCTTAGTTTTGTTACATCTTACCATAAAATAAGACATTTTACTGCAAAAACTTGGTTATCTTTGTTCTTTACTAGCATAAGACAGATTTCTTATAAATTAAAAAAAGTCCAAAAACCCCCAAGTACACAACAGTGCAGAAACCACAAGGCCGAATATCCAACAGTTACATACTAACAGTATGACTTCAACATGTTGGGCACTTCAAATACACTAACAATTAAGTAGCTCACTGAAAGGTATATTAATGTATTTGGCAAATTAGTATCATTTCATGGTTATCTCTGCTCACCTCTAAGCAGCCATCAGAACTTCAATCTAGTTAAAGATAATCAGCTGAGTCAACTTAATTGGTGATTTTTAAATTGCTTTCAGTGTAACAAATCTAATTCAATCTTCCCACATATATAATTTGGTTTAGGCTGCAGCTGTTTTAAAAATCTCTACACATACATTTCTCCATGTTGGAAAAACTTGAAAAATTGGCAATCTTTTTCAAATTCCTACACAGATGCCATGGCCAGATGACATTATCTCAGGAAACAAGCAGCAGTTTTTTCCTCAGCATTACCTTCTCAACCAATTTGAGCCAACTGCTGCATTTTGTCATGAGGTGCACTGGCAGATTTTGAGATTGGGGAGAAGCTGACCAGACAATACTCCCTCTCACAGTATGCTCAACAACTTAAACAGCAAGCCCCCAACACCTGTATTCAGTTCCTTAGATGCTACTGTAATAGAAAACTTAAGGTATTAAAAAAAAAAAAAAGAGTCTTTCTTACTTTATCCCCAGCATTTGGATTCTTATCAGGATGGTATTCCTTGGCCAGTTTTCTGTATGCCTAGTTGAAAGAGGTAGAAAATTATTTAAAATTTGCATTAATCAGTTCTTTTCTGAGAAACTCAAGTAATGTCCTCAGGAAGAAAGAAAATCCTAATAAAGCAAAGTGTAAATATTATAGTGTTTCAAAGTCACTCATACATTGATACGACCTAAAAAAATTTTACATGTATACATTAACCAGACTCACATTCAGACACAGCTATGGCACACAATAGTCAGAACTAGTTCTCCTGCTTATCCCATTAACTTACAGGGAGAATCCCATTTGATTTCCATTGAAATGACTTGCTCTTTAGAACCCACTCAAACCCTACACCACAACAGCAAATTTGAACCCGTTTGTCTTTGCCCTCAACCACAGCAGTTCAGTAACAACAAAATGGCTGCCTCAGCTTCCATTCAACCCTAGAACCACTCCTCACAACAATCATTTCCTTCTTCCCTGCCATCACTAATGGAAGGGTTCACCTCACTTTGAGCTCAGTCTATGAGTTACATGTGCAGAAATGTACAGAGAACTGCTTTTATTTCAGTTCTCTAGATCAGCAGGAGTAAGTACAGCCAAATCCCCAGAAGGGACTTTCCAGGCTGCTTTTTTCTGACCAGCACTCTGACATTCTGGACCACCACTGGTTCTTCAGCAGCCCTTCATCTGTTCTGCTTACACTTGAGAGGATCAAAGCAAACAACACAGCAGGCAGAGACTTCTCCCACCAGAGCTAATGACAGTAGGAACTTCAACCCTTCCTCTACTCCACCTCAACACCCCTCAGAAGCAATCAGGGGACAGATATTAATAAATTACATTGCATGCAGTCTTTTATTTTTCAAATTACACCTATTAAAAGACTCCAGTGATGCAACAGCAAAAAATTGAGGTATCAATTCTTGGATTTTTCAAACACTTTATTTCTGAATAACTGAGCACCTAAAGTAACTCTTCAGAAATACAATATTAAGAGCTTTACACACAAAGCTTTACAGAAACCACAACTTCTCAGCTTCTGAACAAATTTCCTTTTTTTAGATCCATTCAGTTATTTCTCATTATTGAGTTTATCTTGAAACACTCTGTACTTTTGCATGCAATCAAGACATGATAAAGAACCAGTGAAATAAAAACAATGCTGATATTACAAGCCTAATATTCTGAACCACAGTAACTGTGAAAACCAAAACTCATACATCTTACTGGACAAATCACCCATGAGGAACAAAGCATAATGTTCCACAAACCTGTGTATTCTATGTTATAATGGATGGTCTCCATATATTTTAAGTATTACAACCAAGAAAAAAAGCAAAACACCACTAAACTGATAACCTAAGTAACATAATCTAATGAAGAAAAAGGGAGCTTGCAATGGTGATCTTTAAAAAGAGAAAGCCCTCACATCTTTTCTGATAACAGCATTCCAGGCCAGAGCAACTCTTACAACTACCCATGGCCCTAAAGGAAGCCATCATTATTTCATCAGAACCAAATCCAGAATCAAGGTCTACACAAGGTCTACAGAATCAAGGCAACATAGATAACGTCAGTAAAAGTTAATTTAGCCACTGTAAAAGCCTGTTCACTCAGCTCCTTCAGACCAAGGTTCGTTTTAATATTTCTATACTATTATACAGGTTAAAATATCATATTTTAAAGTACCCATGAAACCTCTTAATGACAATAAGGAACACAGGAACTCCTTGGTGTTGCAGACAGTTGGAAAATCTACATTCCACGATTAGTCTAATATGTGGTAATTAATACTGGGTGGTGCAGGCTATGCTAGCAGAAAACTGCTCCGGTTTTCATTCTTAAAGGACACTGATAGCTTTAAGCGAACCCTGTAATAGAATAAAATATTCTGGTGGGCAGTGCCGTATACTAAACACAACCTTCTCAGCGCCTGCCCTCCATCTCCAGCACAATTTCAACACTGCAATTGCCTAGCCCTGCACAAATTAGGCTGCCGCGTGCATGACGGGTAAGGCGCAGTTGTTGGTGCCAGCACCACCCACCCGCGGAAGCCTCTGCTAGTGAACCGTCTGGTTCATTCTCCTCCCTCACGTGGAAACGGTCATTAAGGCCTCCACAAAAAAAAAAAAAAAGAAAAGAAAAAAAAGAAAAAAAGAAAAAAACAAAAAACAGGAAAAAAGAAAAAAAAAGTGCTTTAGACATTACAGGATGCAATTGCTATAGCGACGACCTGGCTCCAAGTTTTCACCTCCCCTCTTTGTTTACATCGCCTTCCCGCGTTCGGCCTGGGAGGAATCGCATCTATGAGCGAAACCGAATCCTCCCCAGGCCTGCACGTGGGGCAGACAATGGCACCGGTGAGGCTCGACCCGCAGGGATTCTCACCCCCGAAGAGCCCTTGCGGCCGCGCACGGCGCGGTGCGGCGGGGGCGGGACGAGCCGCTCCCGCCCGCGCTCGGAGCCCACGCGGGACGCGCCGGGCCAGGGACGCGGCGAGAGCGGCCGGGCCCCGCCGCCCCCTCCTCCCGCCGGGCCCTCGCCCTGCCCGCGGCCTCCCCGACCGCTCGGCCCCGGGCGCGGCCTACCCGGCACCGCGCCGCGCCCGCAGCGCAGCCGCAGCCCCGCCGCCCGCCCCCCGCTCGGCCCCGCTGCCCTCGCCGCCCGCGGGGCCCTGCCCGGCCGGGCCCAGCACCCCCCCACCGCCCGACCTCCGCCCCTCCGCCGCACCTTCTTGAGTTCATTGTCGGAGGCGCCGGGCGGCACGCCCAGGATGTCGTAGAGCTTCGTGTCGGCCACGTTGGCCATGGCGGGGCGGCGGCGGGGCCGAGCGGGGCCGGACGGGCCGAGGGCGGCGCGGGCAGGGCCGAGACCGGCGGCAGGACACGGACACGGACCGGCCGCGACGTCACCGCGCACGCGCTGCGTCACTGCGCCGCGACGCGCGAGGCGCGCGGCCCCGCCCCCGCGGCGGCCCTGACCCAGTTCCGGCGCGGCGCGGCAGGGGGTGCTGTGCCGGGGCCCTGAGGGCACGGCCGGGGAGCGGGGAGCGGGCGGCGCTCCGGGAACAGCGGCCTCGGCTGTCCCGCCTGGTACTGCACAGAGCCAGCGTGCTCGGAGGAGACCTCTGGGATCGTCCAGTCCCACCTATGACCGAACACTTCCATGTCAACCAGACCCTGGTACTGAGTGCCTTGTTCAGTCTTAAACACCGTGAGGGACGGTGACAACATCGTGAGGGACGGTTACTCCACCGTCCTCCCTGAGCAGCCCGTTCCAGTATCTGTGAAAAAATTGGACCTTATATCCAACCTGACCGTCCCTCAGTGCAGGTTAAGACTCTTCTCTCATCCTGTCACTTACTGCCTGGGAGAAGAGCCTGACCCCACCTGGCCGGGGCCTCCTTTCAGTGAGTTGTAGAGAGTGATAAGTTCACCCCTGAGCTTCCTTTCCTCCAGGCTGAGCCCCCCAGCTCCCTCAGCTGCTCCTCATCAGACCTGTACCCCAGATTCTTCCCCAGCTCCCTCAGCTGCTCCTCATCAGACCTGTACCCCAGATTCTTCCCCAGCTCCCTCAACTGCTCCTCATCAGATCTGTACCCCAGATTCTTCCCCTGTTCCATTGCCCCTTCTCTGGACTCCCTTCAGCACCTCAGTGTCCTTCCAGAACTGAGGGGCCCAGAACTGGACACAGTACTTGAGGTGTGGCCTCACCAGTGTCCAGTACACTGGGACAATCCCTGCCCTGGTCCTGCTGGCCACCCTATTCCTGGTACAGGCCAGGGGCCATTGGCATTCTTGGCCACCTGGGCACTCCTGGCTCGTGTCCAGCCTTTGTTGACAAGCACCTCCAGGTCCTTTTGCACCAGACACTTCCCAGCCACTCTGCCCCAGCCCTGAGTGCTGCAGGGTGTTATTGTGGCCAAAGGGTGGGACTGGCATTTGGTCCTGTTGAACCTGAAATGCCAACACTGTTGGTCTTGGCCTGAAATTTTGAACCTGAAATGCCACTGTCTGTGCACCCATGTCCCCCAAGCCCCCAGCTCCTGCCTCCCCAAGCATGGCACTGAGGTGCATGGGGCACCTGCACACCAAGCTGCTGCCTGCCCTCGGGCACCAGTGGGTTTTCCTGCAGGGACATATTGCTAAGTGGTTAGAAATAGCACTGGTACCCATCTGCTCTGGTTTTGTGCTTTGCTCCACTGCTGGGATCTGAAGCATCAGTTGCTGTGTGAAGCACAAAGTGACTCACAAAGTGCACCAACCCCAAGGCCCCATCTGGGCACCACTCTTTGCAGGCAAATAAAAAGCTGGGTTGTGTTTAATTAGATGTTTGTCTCTTAAAGCTGGGCTAGGAGAGCAACCACTAAGCCCTTCCTGGGCTGTAGTCTCTTGGTTGTTTGCCCCTTGTTGGGCAGGGGCTGCTGGAAGGCTCTAAGAGCTGTGGCAGGTGTATAGCTAAGGGTGATGGTATGGGGTCTGTATAAGGGCAAACCCCAAAACTGGCTTCCTCCTTTCTGTCTGGGTAAACCCAGGCTGTGCCTCAGAGAGGATGCTCCCTGAGGAAGAGGTGAGCAAGGCTGGGGCCTGAGGAGAGGCTGCTGGGAACAGATTACTGGCCTGACATGTGAGAGAGAACAGAAAAGGCCCTTTCAAAAGATTGTTGTGCTTGTGGCATAGAGATTTGAATAGGTCCCTTGCCTAAGGGGAACAGATCTGAGTGCCTGAAGGTTTCTTCCCTCTTTGTCTTAGGGGTGTCCATCATGGGGACACAGCCTGTGGTTGCACAATCCTGGGGCTGGATTGGGAAGTACAGTCTGCTGGTGGCTTCTCTGCTGCTTATTGGGAGGGTGTTTTTGGGGCCCTAAATTCCATCAGTGTGTTTATTTGGCCTGTAATGATCTGGTTCAGCACAGGATGGTTAATACCTGCCTCTGGGGTTGCAGGTGTGGCAGCAGTCAAGAGCTTCAAAAGAAAATGGAGACTAGTTTTGGAGGGAGAAAAAGAGTGGCAGGCAGAGAATGGTGGAAAACAGTCCTATGGACTGTAATTATTAGTCTGGCTCAGAGATGCACAGAAAGAAAGAAAAGTCCTTGTAAGGAGAGGTATTTTTCTTTGGTGTTTTTGGAGGCTGCCTGTACAGCTTTTGGGAATTTCATGGTTTAACCTACAGAGCCAGTAAAACTTCATGATTTGGTTTACCTGTGCATTACTTTACTTGGTTTCATCTTTTATTTTGGTAAGACTAAATTCATCTGCTCTAGGAACTCTCTGCTGTGCATACATGGCTTGACTATTTCAGATTGTACTTGCTGACAGATTGGTATGTTTCTAGAGAAGATTGTTTCTGTCATACAGGTTTGTTTTGGTTTTTTTTTAGTAGGCAGTCAGGTAGAAAGAAAAGTTAGGAGTGTGTGGAGGATTGCTTCTTTGCCCTACAGCTCAGATTTGGTTTTTTAGGTGTTAAGCAGAATCAGCAGACTGATATAAGCAGTATTTAACATATAAGGAATGTTTAGCATACCATAGTGTTTATGTTTTCTTTGCATTAAAAAAAAAATCTAAAGCTCTAAGAAGGTGAGTTGCTCCAAGCAGTGAGGTGCCATTCTTATCTGTGGCTGTGGGGAGGAAGTTGACTGAAGGGATGATTCAGCCCAGACTTACCTGTCCTGGGAGCTGGGTGGCTCCTGAAGGCACCTGGCATCGTGGGGCTGTGCTGGCAGGCAGACATGAGCCAGGGCTGCTGGGCTGTGGGGCGAGAGCTGAGCCCAGGCCTTCAGCTGCAGCCCAGCCCAAGGACGGAGTTTAGAGGCAGCATTTGCTTCTTTCTTCTTCCCTGCCAAAACAGGAGCTTTTTTACTACAGACCTGGTTTGTATCTTGCACAATCAAACTAAGCAATAAATAATATGAAAATTCCTCTGGGATGAAACTTTACATTTTAAGTGGAGCTAAAGAATCCTAGGCTGGGATGATTAGCTTTTTATTGAATTCAAATGTGGATGAGGAGCAAGGTGGTGTTTCTTCTTCCTGCACACTGCTTTTACCATAGACTTGTGAGCTGTACTGACAGAACACATTAGACACACAGCTGGCCATATCTCACACTCAAATTGCTTTCAAAATATCTTCAAGTTGAGACTTCCCTTGGAATCCAAAACTGTATCCTCCCCCGCTTCTTTGGTATCACTTGCACATTCTTTGTTTCCTTTGTTTCCTTTGTTGTCCTTTTTAAAAATTATTTTATTTTTCTTTTAGATAAAAGCTTTTCATTTAGTTCTAATGTTATTATTATCACACTATGATAAAAAGCAGTAGCTATATGAATGTTTGTTTCTAAATAGACTGCACAATTCTCAGCTCTTTGAAGTATTGTTTTATCCTTACACAGACACCACAAGGGACTATTCAGATTCAGTTATTGTTTCAGACCTTTTTTATTTTCATTCTTTATATAAAAAAATTAATTTCTTTTTTAAAATGATGCTTTCTTAGAAATAAAATAATATTGATCATGTTCATCACTGGAAAATTGGAAAGACATCAATTTCATGTTACTACAAATGAAATAACCCCTGTTGAGGCTTATTTATGAAGTTATTTTATGTGTTCAGTGTGGTCTGAACATGAAAATATGACTGGGCATCACTAACTCCTGTTTTATTACTAAACAATCAAATTTAAATTTAAAAAAAGGTGTTCTGTTTAAATACTTTTAAAGAATGCAGTTACACTGAAAAACAATTGCTGAGCTTATATGGCCATTCTTTGAAATGTTGTTGGTATCAGCTTTCATCAGATAAGGCAGTTAGTGTGTCCTGCCCACTGTCTGATTTCTAGACCCTGTTAGCAATGGAGAGCAAGCCAGTGAAGAACAAAGAAAGGACATGAAAGTTGTGGAGAATTTTAGGGCTCTGAAGGGCCTGTTGGGAAGAGGGCAGCTCCAAAGGGCACCAGAGGCAGAGGCAGCTGGCTGTTCCCTCAGTGAGCAGGGAGAGCACCCTGCCAGCACCCTGCCTGCCTCTCCTGAGGGAGAGCACCCTGCCTGCCTCTGCTGAGGCACAGAGCACCCTGCCTGCCTTTCCTGAGGGAGAGAGCACCCTGCCTGCCTCTCCTGAGGGAGAGCACCCTGCCTGCCTCTCCTGAGGGACAGAGCACCCTGCCTACCTCTCCTGAGGGAGAGCACCCTGCCTGCCTCTCCTGAGGCACAGAGCACCCTGCCTGCCTCTCCTGAGGGACAGAGCACCCTGCCTGCCTCTCCTGAGGCACAGAGCACCCTGCCTGCCTCTCCTGAGGCACAGAGCACCCTGCCTGCCTCTCCTGAGGCACAGAGCACCCTGCCTGCCTTTCCTGAGGCACAGAGCACCCTGCCTGCCTCTCCTGAGGCACAGAGCACCCTGCCTGCCTCTCCTGAGAGAGAGCACCCTGCCTGCCTCTCCTGAGGGAGAGCACCCTGCCTGCCTCTCCTGAGGCACAGAGCACCCTGCCTACCTCTCCTGAGGGAGAGCACCCTGCCTGCCTCTCCTGAGGGACAGAGCACCCTGCCTGCCTCTCCTGAGGGAGAGCACCCTGCCTGCCTCTGCTGAGGCACAGAGCACCCTGCCTGCCTTTCCTGAGGCACAGAGCACCCTGCCTGCCTCTCCTGAGGCACAGAGCACCCTGCCTGCCTCTCCTGAGGCACAGAGCACCCTGCCTGCCTCTCCTGAGAGAGAGCACCCTGCCTGCCTCTCCTGAGGGAGAGCACCCTGCCTGCCTCTCCTGAGGGACAGAGCACCCTGCCTGCCTCTCCTGAGGGAGAGCACCCTGCCTGCCTCTCCTGAGGGACAGAGCACCCTGCCTGCCTCTCCTGAGCTCACTGACCAGGGGAGCAGGGGGAGCTCTGGCAGGGTCAG